TCCAGGACACCTTATTCATGTGGGTAGCAAATCTGTGCTGGCTGTATGCAGGAGGCCTAAGTCACTCACCATGTGGCCCTCTCCATAGGGCTACATAAGTGTCTCACATCGTGGCAGCTGGCTTTCCCTCGACCAAGTGATCCAAGAGAGAGAGCAAGGTGGAAGCCATAGTGCCTTTTATGTACTGGCCTTGGAAGTCACACACCATTATTTCTGCAATGTCCTATTGGTTTATACAGGTTAGTCCTATTTAGCATAGAAAAAGGACTACATGAGGACATGGACACCAAGAAGTGTGAATCATTAGGGTCATTTTGGAAGTTGACTATAATACAGTGTCTAAGGTTGCTCTTGTATCTTCCTACATTATAAATTCCCTTCATCCCTACTCAACTCCCAAAGCTAATTATTCTATTTCCTTTTAAGTCCATTCTTGGTTTGGGGAGATTTGTTGTTGTTTGTTTTCCATGGTACCATCAGAAGGGTGGTAATGGGCATTGGTTTCTAGAAAGCTTTGAAGTCAGTGAAATGTCAGCTCTCTGGTTGTTTCCAGAACACTTGTGTCTCTGTATACCCCATCTAGAATCTTTAAAAGTTAGAATTAAAGTAACTATTCTTTCAATTCTTATCATAAATTTGCTGTTCTGTTATTTGGGTTTATTTGTTTTGAGACAGATTCTCACTTTGTTGCCCTTGGTAGAGTGCCTTGGCATCACAGCTTACAGCAACCTCAAACTCTTGGGCTCAAGTGATCCCCTTGCCTCAGCCTCCCAAGTAGCTGAGACTACAGGTGCCCACCACAACATCCGGCAATTTTTAGAGACGGAGTCTCACTCCGGCTTAGACTGGTCTTGAACTCATGAGCTCAGGCAGTTCATCCATCTTGGCCTTCCAGAGTGCTAGGATTATAGGCATGAGCCACCACGCCGAGCCCTACTGTTCTGTTTTAGTGTAATCATTCTTTCACATAACAGAAATCGGCATCCAGAAATCACAGTGGATTTTGTTAAGGTAGATCTAAATGAAAGTCCCCTTAACTTCTTTTCTCACTTTGCTAGAACATCTCTTCTCTTCTCCTGGACTGCCCGTAAATTAGGTCAGCAGGTTCTCCTCCTGTGTCCCCTCTGTGTTTCACATTCCTAGTTGTTAGCTGTATGGGCGTATGGTCTTGGGCATATGACTGAATCTCTTTGTGCTTCCTTTTTCCTATTTGTAAAATGAAGGCAACAACTGTACCTATTCCTTTAGGGCTGCTGTGTGAGCTGATGACATGCCTGCGAAGTACTTAGTTTGGTGTCTGGCATATTTGTAAGCAATGTGTTGTCACTGGTATTTACACATGTTGTGATAGTGATGATGGTTATTGGAGTTACACTAGATTTAAATGTATGTATTTTTAGACATCTCTTTCACATTTCTGTTTATTATACAGTTTCTATATGCCAGGTACTGTGTTAAAAGCATTTCATATTTCATAGGCAAATGCCATTTCATCAATGAGGAAATCATGGGGTAGAGAGGTTAAATAATTTGTTCCAAAAATCACACAGCTATTAAATTATACAACTTCACATCATCCTTATTACTACATAAATGTTTGTGGCACTAGATTAGATTTAAGAATGATACATCAGTATGAAGCTCAGGAGAGCATCTTAAGACCAAAAACAAGAGACTAAGAGACTATAGAGTGAATTGATTATTCATACTTGGATCCTTTGTAAATAAGGTGATGTTTTGCAAACAAAATCTTTAAATTCCAGGTAGCACCACTTTTACCAATGCATATGTAAAGTGAAGGAAATGTAAGAAGTAAAATAAACTTTTCTGCTTTTATGAAGTCACTGTTTAAATGTAGAAGAAAAATTATAGAAATTACAATAAACATCTAAATACAATGATAATTTATCTGAATTTAAAGTTTTTCACTTTTCACTTTTATTTATGTAAAATAAATTTATAGAATGATAGTAGGAACAAAATAAACACACCAAGACTTGTTTCTTGAGTTACTTCTAAAAAGGTAATAATCTGTGTTGCCTTACTTCCTTCTGCTTGTTCTTGAAATAGTTTCTTCCTGGCCACCTCTTGGTCAGCGGCTCTTAACTTTACCTGGGCAAAGAGCCAGTGCACTTACCATCTAACCATCTATACAGTGAGATTGAAAAGCTTATGAAATGCAGCACTGTTCACTCAGTCAGTTAAATGGCCTATTGAACCTGCTAGAACTTCACTTTTTTGTTTTATTCCCCTCTTCCCCCAGACTTTGTCTTCTTCTGTTCTTTTTCTCAGCAAGGGCATATGTGATTTGATTTTAAGTAGACTTCATTGCATCAGGCAAAGGTTTTTTTGATGAATGAGTGCAAGTCTGTGACTTCAGTTATTAGGGATATTTATAATCAAAATTATTAGCTGTAAAAATTTTGTTCATCAAGTGATTTGGAGTTCAGAGAAAAATATGAGATCATTCAGAGAAAAATAGAAGATCATTAAATTACAGATGGAAGGAACATGAGTGTCTGTCTCATTTTCTTGTTCAAAAAACACATTTGTTTCTAGTTATATGGTCACTTACAAAAGCATGTGCTTTTTGTTGTGATCATATAAGCAGCCTTTGAATTTATCCAAAGAAGGGGAGACTGGTTTTGGTAATATCTTAAGTACACAGGCTGTAGGCAGTGACAGGACATCTGCAAATCAATAGTTAAATAAGATTTTACCAGAGAACAAATTAACATAAATGGGCTGATGGTATTTACTGAACTCAGCCTTGGCTGGTGTAAGTCAGTGTAGTTAATAGCTGTCCTAGCCAGAGCTGCTGATAGTGCTGTTATGTGTGCTGATGTAGTGGTTAAATAGATAAATTTCTGATGATTGGTTGTCTCTCTGAAGTACTAGAAGAGACTAGAATGACAGTTCTACTGTCATCTTCCCATGCTTATAATGAAAGGGAATTTCTCTTTGATGATAATAATGCATAGGTTCTGAGTATCATCCTGAGCATGGCGAATGCTACAGTGAACATGTTTTTGTCAGGAACATTATAATTCCGAAGTAACACTGGTCTTCCGGGTTTCCTCTGGAGTGTTGTTTTTTAATGCAGCCTTTGCCTAAATCATGAAAACAAACATTTTTTTCCTTGGAAGAATCTGTAGGCTAGACAGGAATTGATACTGGATTATTAATGCACAGAATTGAGAAGATCATCAAGAGTAAAATTTCCTTTAAGCAGGGCATGTTTAAGGAAAGCCAGGAGTCATGAATGAAATGTTAGACATAGTTCCACTTACCTGCCTTTGGTGAGTAGGTTTTGTATAACATATAGTCTGCCACCTGTTCATGTGTCATCCTGATAAATTAATGTGACTTCAGGCCATAGGCCCTACTGCCATAATGTCTGCACATATTTACATAATAGCAGGATTAGAAGCAACTGTAAGTGTTTTGAAGGAAATTAATTGAATTAATCATTCAATTTAAGAGATATTCACATTTCTTCCCCAAAGGCTGGGTTAAATTCATATAAAGGCAGATTATTTGAGGGGCAGGAAAATCTTAAATTTAGGAAGGAAATAGACTGGGCACAGTGGCTTAGACCTGTAATGCAGCACTCTGGGAGGCCAAGGCAGGTGGATCGCCTAAGCTCATGAATTCAGGACCAGTCTGAGGTAGGGCGAGACTCTGTCTCTAAAAATAGCTGGATGTTGTGGTGTGCACCTGTAGTCCCAGCCACTTGGGAAGCTGAGGCAAGAGAATCACTTTAGCCAAAGAGTATAAGGTTCCTGTGAGCTATGGCTGTGAATGCCATGGCAACAAAGTGAGGCTCTGTCTCTTAAAAAAAAAAAAAAGAAAAGAAAAAGGAAATACAGTTTTTACAGAGTGGCTTTTGAAATGATAAACTGAGTAGCTAATCCTTTACTAAAGAGTTCCTTTGTGTCCTTGGGGTCTTTTGTGTCTCTAATTAAAAAAGTAAAAGTAGAAACATCCAGGACCAATGTTGCATTCAGCCTTGACATTGGTATCTATTCATAGGACATGGGAGATCTACAGATCTCTTCAGTCCTAGAAAAACAAAAACTTCTGCCTCTGCCTTTTGATGTCCAAACTCGAATGCCAACAGCAGTATGGCTCCTAGGGAGATAACCCTTAGAAGTAGCCCACACCAGTCAAGCCACCTCTCTTGCTCAAGGCTTAGCATGAAATGTTTGGGAGAAAATTTGGCCAGCAGTACATTCCTAGTCATTGTGTGTGATAACAAGGTTGCAACTTGATTGGCTACTGAAACAGCAGCCAGTTGCCTATAGGTGTTGGAAGTCAGTCTGCATACAGTAAGATGTCCACTTAAAGGTTAATGGGTGCTATGAAATAATTAATAATAGACAGAGGGGGCAACAGCTAGTTGTAAAGTTGTACATATTTCCAAAGGATTAGAGCAATGTAGCTCTTAGTGTCAAGATGTTTGTTTTATTGAATTGACTCAGTGAATTGTTACTATAGTGGCCATTTCTTTTTTGCTGGTTATCTGTCTTCCATCCCAAAAAGGGGCTGTTCTGCCTATCAGCACTGACCCAGATTACTTTCATTGCCTCCACCCATTCACCCACTTAAGCAGATGGCATGTTATAACATGGTTGAGAATTGTTAGCAAAATTTCCCAGCTGTGCACTGTTCATTTATTTTCAAGGGAGCTAGACTCCAATGAGTATTGATACATTGCTGATCCCAGCTATAGGGAAACTTTGACAGAAATGGCCTCTGGCTCCCTGAGTCTGTAACTTATTCAAACACACTATCTTACCTGTACCAGGTTTATACCAAGGTGTGAACTTAGCTCCACGGAAATTGAGGTTTCTCATTATTGGCCACTTTTGAAACAACATTCTGGGTAATAGTTCAGAAGGCCACACCACTTGCAATCTTTGGTTGAGTCAGAGTATACTTGTTCTCTTTGGGGTATTCTAACGTTGCTCATGCATTCTCTTGGGACTCTCAATTTGCAGATGCTAATGCTGGAGACCGTGGACAGACCAATAATGCCGCTTCTGCATCAGCTTCCAACTCCACCTGAACAGTCCCGAGCAGCCAGCTGCACAGGAAAAACCACCAGTTACTTGAGTGTCACTCAGCAACACTGGTCACGTTTGGAAAGAAAATTAAAAAGAGAAAAAAAACCTGTTCATTTTAGTGTTCAATTTTTTTTATTATTATCGTTGTTCTTATTTAACCTTGTAAAATATCTATAAATACAAACCAATTTCATTGTATTCTCACTCTGAGGGAGATCCAAGGGCTGGGAGGGGTTGTGGGGAGGGGGAAAGCGGAGCACTAAATACACAATCTCTCTCCCGCGACAATCTTTTCTTTATCAAAAGTCTGCTGTTGTATACTTTAAAAACAGGATTCCTGCCTCATGCCCCTTCCAAGAAGAAAACCTTGTTCTGTGCTGAAGGGTTTTTTTTTTTTTAACGTTGTTTTCTTTTAAAGTCTTGTGTAAGACTTTGGTATAATGCACAGCTTGAAATTGGTTGGGAGCTTAGCAGGTATAACTCAACGGGGACTTAAATGTCACTTGTAAAATTAATCCATATCCTCGGGTATTTGAAGGCTTGCCTTCAGCATGTTGGTGGCAGGTGTGGCAGACAGAAAAGGAAATGTGTGTCATTCATAACCCAGGGAAGTCAGTAAAGTTTGAAACTCTTGAGAGGACGATTCTTAATTGATTTGTGAAAGTTTTGTTTTGCTCTCAGTCAGCGCTAGTGGTGAAGAGGCTTGTATAGGAGGCTGCTGGGGAGGAGCAGCTCACAGGACTCTGGCACACGTGCTCTTCAGGTGGATCTGTTTGCCTGACCAAAGTTCTCTGCAAATCTTAGCACAGTTTTAAACTAGTGACCCTAGGAAGAGACCGAAAATGTTTTTAGCAGGCCACTCTGGCTGCAGAGGTCAAAGGCCAGTGAGCCCAGAACAAGGGGACAGGCCAGGAACATATCTCACCACTGTGAATGAATTGTCCAGATTTTTTTCTAAAGTTGCTTCCCTCGGAAAGATACAGTTAAGAGAACATTATAGTTAAATAATGTGAACTGTAATCATCTACTGGTTTATTTTTCATATTTTTAATTGCAAATAGAGCTTACGTAAATTGTCACAGTCTATTATACATAGTTCTAATTTTAAATCCAAATCTAGAATCTGTATTTAATTTCAGCATTTTTTAACTTCATGCTTTTTACATTTATTTATTGATGCATGTCAGGCCATTATGATTTTAGATGGTAGAAATATTAAAACTACACATCAAAATGACAAACAATCACTTGTACCTGCTGACTTTATAGGAAAGCTGATTATATAAATGTGTGTATATATGTTATATATACATATATTCAATACTGCCTTTTTTTGTCTACAGTATCAAAATTGACTGGTTTAAGCATGAGAAGAATGTTTTCCACCCACACTTGGTTAAGAGTTTTTGTTTTTGTTTTCTTTGTATATCAGTGAATGGTGTAAGAATCAGTCTCTGTTTTTGAAGAAAAAGCAATATTCCTTGGAAAGCAAGGAGGATTGAAGGATTATGTTTGCCGTGAAAAAATAGATTTTCATGACTAGTTTGTTTTATACTTTTAAGGTTGGTATCTATGTGGGCCTTATATACTCTAAAATGAACCTTAGTCACCTTGGTGCTTATGGGCCATTACTTGACCTATGAATCTTTAAGGCACAATCAGTTGTACTTTACATTTAAAGGTCACTTGAGTGATGGCCGCCTTTCCCTCCTTCCCCACATACCTTCCAAGGTTAGCTGATAACTGTAGGGCTACAGAGTTAAGCCCTAGGTTGTGTGTAACTTTCCTCCACCCTTCTCATTGCCTCCTTGGGTCAGGTTAGGGGTCTCACCCTCCAGGTGGTTTGGAAGTAGAGTCTCTTGGCAGCCCTCCTGCAGGCGCTAGCACCCTGTCCTGCTTCTTAATCATGTGTGTGTGACTCTCCAAGAGAGTTACACTGCCTGCTGAAGTGAACCAGTACCCAGAAAGACAACTGTGAGCCATCTTATTTTTCACTCATTGTTTAAGCTCTTAGGCCACAAAAGGAGTTTCTCAAACCTCTGGTTATATCAGAGTTCATAAGAAAAGAAATACTCTCAGTCAAACTAAAACAAACAAATTGAATTTTACATTTTATAAAGTGCTTCTTCTGAGAGCAAATTAAAATTTGAAAGAAGTCTGAAATCAAAGTAGTTAGCAGCATAATTCCTTAAAGGGAATGGCTTTGATAGACCATTTTCAGAAAGGATTTATAAAGAATCTGAAAAGACAGGTCTGTGATAGAGAAATGGATCTGCTTTCAGATCAAACTGCCCAAACATTTGGATACAGACACTACTCTGGATTTGGTATACATGCCAAAGTCCATAAAAATCTGTGCTCGTTTTAGGAAACAGCCTCCCCGCCACCCCTCACCCCTCCCCCCCGCAAATGGGGTATGAGAAGAGAGAAAAGCCAGAAGCTTTTCTCTTGTGTGCGTGTATATGTGCGTGCGTGTGTGCGTGTGTGCGTGAGGGCTGAAGTGTGTGCTTTTTTTCTTTCTCAATGATCATGGTGGGATCACAGAACTCTTTTATACAAGTGAGATCCAGGTCTCTGAATATCTTTTTGTAAATAATAATAAAAAGCTCCTCACCAAATTCAAGCTTGTACATTATATTTTCTTTCAGTGTTTTTAAATTTTAAGTTTTATTGTTTTGTATGTAAATATGTGGACCCAGGAACTGTTATTAATGAGCAAAAAGTTACTGTTCAGGGCAGTGATTCTGTTTAATAATCAGACAAAATGTAGACGAGCTTTTTAAAGCCATATAGTTTTAACTCTGTACAGTAGGTACCGGCCTGTATTATTGTAACAATAACTCTAGCAATGTATAGTGTATCTATATAGTTTGGAGTGCCTTCGCTTCCATGTGTTTGGGGATTTTTTGTTTTTCATTTCAAAAATTTTTAATTGGTTTCCTTTATCCATGTTTCCTTGTCGACCATTTTTCCCTTTGAAATAATAACTCACTCATAACAGTATCTTTGTCCTTCCACCATTAAGTTTCAGTGATACCATGCTCAGGAGTGGGAAGAGGAAACCATGTTCATAATCTCATTTCATTCAAGTCCTGCCTTTGTTTTGGTTCTGAATGTTTTGTTTCCTCCTCAGTAGCAGTGACCGGTTTCATTTCATACTTAGTCCATTCAGAGACTTAGTGTAGTGCCAGGGAGCCCTAGAGCTGGAGGATACTGAATAGATTAGATTTTTGCTCGTCTCTTCCACAAGCCCTAACCATGGGTCTTAAAAACAGCAGATTCTGGGAGCCTTCCATGTTCTCTCTCCTCCTTACCTACTCCCCTCCCAAATGAGAGAGAGAGAAGTGTTTTTTTATACATTGAAGCTTCTTAATAGTATCGGGTTTTGATACATCAGCAGTCTAAAATGCCATAGCGCAATTCCCAGCTGTGATCGCATGGAGTGCTGCCATGCCAATAGTGGACTGTTGTTTTAACAAGGGAATTCTTAACCCATTCCCCTGCCCGACATCTCTACCCCTGTTCAGTGAAATGTCATTTTAATACCATTTGCCCAACATGAAGGCCTTTTTTGAAAGAAAAAAACATAGAAAGTATTTGTTTTGCCTCCAAGTACTCCATTGAAAATGTCTCTAATAAAAGAAAAAACAAACTTTACCAAACCAAAGGTTGCTATTTTTGAAACACCATGTATTCATTCCAACAAAGCAGAAGACTGCACCTTCTTTCTAATGACGTGTCATTTTTTAAAGTCTTTAATTTTTAGACACATATTTTTGGTTTGTGTCTTAACAGAGTTTGCCTAATCAGTCATCTTGTCTGCACCAATGCAAAGGTTTCTGAGAAGACTCTTGTATTCTCTATCCCTGTAGATATAAAGACACTGGCATTTCATTTATTTTTTCCTTTCCTTTTTAAAGGATTTAGCTTTGGAATCTTCCAAAGAAAGTTTGGCCAATGCCAGATCTCCAGGAGGTTGGGGGCGGGATTTCTTTTTTAAAAACCAAAATTGTGTCTGATTCTTTTTGTTCATGTTAGTCATCATCTAATCACAGAGCTGAACTCATTTCTCCCCCATGTAGAAAAGTAAGCATGCTTTACAATAAAATCTGTCTTTTCTGGTAGAAACCTGAGCCACTAAAAATAAGAGAAACAATTAGAAGCACAGTAGAGTTGCAGACTGAGGTCTACCTTTGAAGGCTTTGAAAGTAATCCCTGGGGTTTGGATTATTTTCACAATGGTTATGCCGTTTCATTCAAATTTGTTGCTCCGTTTTGCACCTCCACAATAAAAGCAAAATGACAACCAGTACATAAGGGGTTAGCTTGACAAAGTAGACTTCCTTGTGTTAATTTTTAAGTTTCTTTCTTATATCTGTCTACAGGCAGATACAGATAGATGTATGAAAATCTGCTTGCCTGTAAAATTTGCATTTATAAATGTGTTGCCGATGGATCACTTGGGCCTGTACACATACCAATTAGCGTGACCACTTCCATCTTAAAAACAAATCTAAAAAACAAAATTTATGATATACATATATATATATATATATATAAAGGACTGTGGGTTGTATACAAACTATTGCAAACACTTGTGCAAATCTGTCTTGATATAAAGGAAAAGCAAAATCTGTATAACATTACTACTTGAATGCCTCTGTGACTGATTATTTTTTTCATTTTAAATATAAACTTTTTTGTGAAAAGTATGCTTAATGTTTTTTTTCCCTTTCCCCATTCCCTTGTAAATACATTTCGTTATATGTGACTTGGTTTGGAAATAGTTAACTGGTACTGTAATTTGCATTAAATAAAAAGTAGGTTAGCCTGGAAATGAAATTAAAATTTATAAGTGTGTGGTCTTTATTTCAGTATCCAACCCTCTCCTTCACCCTGCCTTTTTTGCCACTGAAATATATAGTCACATCACCATCTTCATTCCTCTAATTTGGGAAACATGAATCTCTGTTATAAAAATCAAGATATGAACACCATTTCTCATTCTTTCCAATGGTCTTACTCTACTGTGTCGCCCCAAGAGGTGCAGCCTCCATCTTGGAAACCTTTGGATTTGATGCAGAGGAAGCTTTGCAGACACTGCTTAGAAAAGAAAGAAAATATCGCTGAAAGGGACAACTTTTAACAAGTGTTTATAAGCTACTGTCTTTGATTAATGTGTTCATGGTTTGGTGTAGTTGTATTTTCTTTTAATTTTCATCCTATTAGTCATGGTCGTCGGGGGTCTCTGTTAAATATATGAACACCACAAACAGTGGGGCTGTACCTCCCAAGTAACCAACACAAGTTGTGGTCGAGTCTGCTCATTTCCAATACTGGATGATGTATGTAAACATGTTATGTCTCTTAGTGCAAAAAAAGAAAAAAACCACCATTTTTAAGGGCTGGCTAACTGTCAGGCCTAATTTAAAGACTAGATATAAGGTCATGTGACTGCTGCTTCAATAAAAACATTTATATTCGATAAAGTCTGGTCCTCTTTTATTTAGCATGGTGGTGGGGTTGGCTAATTCCACCGGCGTATGAAATAAACACATTTACCAGTAGGGGTACAGCTGGGGAGGATTGGATCAGCAAGAACAGAAATGATACATGTAGGATGGGCCTCCTGATGGCACTGGAGTACATTTGTTTTTGACTCAGTGCTGTCTTATGTAGGTCTGTCTGAGCTATTTGAATTGGGGGTGAGTTAAAACAGTGTTAAGTGTCCTGCCACATCCTTTTACCTTATAATCCTGAAGACCAGCTTTTTAGTTTCTAAGTCTTTTCAAAAAGTTGTGACCAACAGTCCTTTGGAATCATGTTTCATGGGGGTAGTAACTGTGGGGTGCTGTTTTGGAAAGGTGGTAGGGAGTACAGAGATCTGTTTGTAGAACAAAAGTGTCCCAGTGGTCAACCATTGTTAGGCATAAGAATATTTCACCCACACATCAGCACCATCAGAAAAGTTGTGGGTATATAAGTGGGAAGCAACCAGAGAAAAATAAGCTGCTGCAGAAGTTGGCACATAGGCACACAATTTGTCAGGAGTAGGAAGGGATGGCTAGTCTTATGCGTGCTGCTGCTTACGTTGTATTTTATCCAGAAAGGAGAGGGCCTGGGGCCAGGCCTACCCACCAGATTTATTGTCAATGTCAAGACATCAATTAGACGAGATGTGGGCCAGGTGGAGAGAAGCTGCTGAGTAGCTCCGATGGGGGAGCTGGAAGGTGTACAGTAGCTTACTTAGGTGTTTTCCCCTGAGCTTTGGAAACTGACTCCACCTTCTCCTGACTGAAAACTGAGGGGAAAAAAAGCACAGCCAGAGAGATGGCTAGAAGCGGATGCTTATTCCCACTTTCTCAAATGCTTTGGGAGGAGAAATACAAATGTTTGAGAGGAGGAAAGCTGAATTTTGCTCCTGGTTAGACCCACAAGGCTGCTGTAAGGAAGTGTCCTGTGATGAGCTCTTCGGTTCATCTAAACGGAGCCTTTACTTTCAGACTACACTTGTTCTTTATAATCTATATAAATCATATGTACATATTAATTCAATGTTTGGGGAACTGCCTGGGTGTTTTTAAAATCAATATGGCAAAGTGAAAGTTTACCCTACAGTCTCTCACCTTTCCGTAGCCTACATCCAACATGATTTCAGGCTCTTGAACAAATAGCACACTGAAAATTATTTCAGTGGTGTAGGGAAAATGTATATGCTTTATGAATACAATTGGGTGAAATTTTTATTTCTAATTATAAATAAGTCTGTAATTAGACAAAACTCCTGGGAGCAAAATCTGCATTGAGTTTGGAGAGAAGAGCTCTTTTTTTCCCCCTCAGTTTCTTTTCTAAAAACAAGTGCTTTCTATATCTCCTTGATGTAGAAAAGGCTGGAAAATCAGAGGGATGTCATGGAGCATGTTTGCTTTGTTTTATTTTATTGATGATTTACTATGTTCTCAAAGTTTGGTCTGCTGCTTATAAAATGATAAAAAGCTAAGCAATTATCTGTTCCTTAACAGATAATTCCTTTCAATTACCACGTAGCAATGAACTATCAGACATTTAAAATTAATTCAATTACTACATTTTAAATTATAGAATGTAATACTTGAAATTTTCATATAGAGCAGTCATTTATGAGTAGATGAAGCTAAATAATGCATTTTTATGTTCTTAACCAAAACTTTTCTGATTTGTAAAGGGAAATTAGTAAAAATACACGTGTGTGTGTGTGTGTGTGTGTATCTGTTTCCCCACCCCCACATTATTTTCTCCAGAGAAAAAAGGCCAAAAAAAGTTTACATCTCTAGTCAAAATTTCATTGCTTCAGTCCTAAAGCCCGGATTCAACATTAGCATGGAACATATTTGCAAAGCCTAGTTCTTAAGTCTGAAATAACTTTATATAAATTAAAGTGTAATTTGTGAAAAATGCAAAAACATTTTTATTCACAAATGGCTCTAAATAAGACAGACACTTTCACACTCTTTGGCTTTGAGAATAGATGTGTACAGAGGACTACAAGGTGCTGAAAATGGTTCTGTACTAGTATGTTTATTAACTGTCAACATAGCCTTCCCCGCACTGCAGCCTCAGTAAGAAATCCAGGTCTCATCTGATGAGAAGCAGATCTACCCAGAACAGGTCACACATGTGCACCCATGGCCATGCCCTTCACAAACTCAGGCCCTAGACACTTATATTTGTGGCCCAGATGTCCACAGAACCCCAGCAGAGCTCAGTGTCCACACAAAAAAATTCCTTGAGCTGTTTCTGTCACTCTTGGTGCTTCCTTTTGATCCAAGTTGTTTGTGTTTCTGCTTTGCTTTTTTAACTATGAACTCTTTGAGGTTAGGCTCTATATGTGAGTCAGCATTGTATACTCCACAGCAAGCTGACATTATTGGTGTTTAATAATGTGTTTGAATGGATGCAGACACACAGAATGACATGCTCAAAATGTGCCCAGGATATCTGATGCAGGCCACCTGGCTTTTCTCTAGAAAATGCAAATACTAATATACCTGCTGATGAGCACAGGCCTGGAACCCGCCAAACAGCTCAGAATAGGAGGCTGCAGCCTGGGAAAGCGTGGGAAGCAGGAGACCAGAGTATTAGAGGGAGCAGCAAAGAAGCTAAGGAACTTGGGTCCAGGCCTGTCAAACCTTTTTTTTTTTTTTCAGTTGCACATTGGAAGAAGAGTTGTCTTGGGTCACACATTAAATACACAACCACTAACGAAAGCTGATGAGCAAATGAAATTTTTAAAAAGGTACATGCATAATTTTTGCTATATCTGACACCTCAGATAAACAAAACAGGCCTCAAATAATCCACATGTGGCCCACAGGCCACAGGCTGGACACCCCCAACAGTTGTAGACTTTCAGACGGCCCAGCACCACCTGCCCCTTTTTTCCCCCATCATGACACTTTACTGAGATCTGGGGATTTCTCCCCAGACCCCAGGGCCTTTGCTAAGGGGAGGGCAGCCTTGCCTTTCACAGATGAGCCTGACCTACAGGCCAGTACACTCTCCACAGACTGAACTGAGGGCTGGGAGGACCCATGTCCTCTTCCTGAGGAACACTAGCCAGCTGTGGTCATAGCAGTGAGTTCCCTGGAGAGGCAGGCTGGTCATTGCTGGCTATCAGCAGTGTCCATCTGTCTAGGCCCAGCAGTGGCCACTCAGAGGGCTCTGTGTCTGGCAGCCCCAGGAGGTTCACCCAAGAGGTGCTCAGCCATCTGTGATGCTGAACAGCTCCTGCATGAGCGGGGTGGCAAAGGGGTGTATGTCTTGGATGCGCAGTAGCCGCTGGGTGTGCTGGGCGTTGATGCTGCGGAGCTCAGTGAGCATAGCCATGATCTTCAGGAACAGGAACCTGTGTGCCAGTCAGAAGAAAGGTTGAAGCTGCAGCCCTTTCCCTGACCCACCAGCCCGGTGCTGCTCCCAGGACATCTCAGTCAGCCAACAGTCAAGGCCTGGCAGCACTCCTTAAAGCTGCATATTGGTGGAGGACGGGTGGTCAGGTGTCTCTGACCTGCTCCCCTTGGTTTGCAACTATTAAATTAAGATTTTTCTTTCAGGGCAGTGCCTGTGGCTCAGTGAGTAGGGCACCAGCCCCATATACTGAGGGTGGCCAGTCCGAACCCAGCCTTGGCCAAACTGCAACAAAAAAATAGCCAGGCATAAAAAAATAGCCAGACATTGTGCGCCTCTAGTCGCAGCTACTTGGGAGACTGAGGCAAGAGAATCGCCTAAGCCCAAGAGCTGGAGGTTGCTGTGAGCTGTGACACCATGGCACTCTACTGAGGGCAACAAAGTGAGACTCTCTCTCTAGAAAAAAAAAAGATTTTTCTTTTAGCCTGTAGACAAGAAGAGCAGGAAAACCTTGATGCGGAAGCTGGCCTCTACCTACCCCCACCACACCTTCAAGAGTTGTATCCTTGTATATAGAGACCTCAGTGGGCCAGACATTGCAGGTGCCAAACTCTTAATTGGCAGGGGTAGGGGACAAATCACTGACTTGGTTAGTGACCAGGGGCCAGGTCTCACCAGAGTAGTGGTGGAGATTAGGGATTGAAGGCTGGAAACCCTTCCTGGAACCAGCTTTGACACACCAATGCCCCAACACAGAAAAGAGAGCTGACACCTCCAGCCTCCTGGTTCCATAAGAGAAAGGACCGAGCCACTCCCAGCATCTCACGACATTGAGTCAAAAAGCAAGTTGGTGCCGGGCAAGTGAGGATTTGAGATAACACCCAGTGTGGCCTGAACCCATCATGGCCTTGGGCTCGGTGCAATCTAAGTTTGTCTCTGGGGCTATGGGCATCAGACTGGGCACAGGAACTACTGAGCAGCAGTGAAGGTGTGAAAGCCCCTCTGGGCCACGTCCTGAGCGGCCTTCCTCTTTTAAGTTAGGACCAGAACAAACTGAGGAGTTTTCTACTCCCTGTCTTCTTGTGTTTTTCCTGGAAAGTGGGTAGACGTGCTCAGAAGTGGGAGATTTGGACCTGGTATGGCTGGCTCCACCCGCAGATTCCAGCCTTCTGGCTGTGGAAGCCTGGGCAACTGCCCTGAGCCCCAGCTCCCTCACTGTCCTCCCTCGGGGCAGTGCTCACCGGTGGGCCGGCTGGGGCCGACAGCACTCAATGTAGGCCTTCAGGGTGATGGCGAACTGCTCCTGCAGCTGATCCACCACTCTACGCTGCACCACGCCTGGGCGGTCTGGAGAGGGTGTGGGGCACAGACGAGATCATTTGGACCCAGAACTGAGACACTGCCAGCCAACCACCTCCCAGAGCCAGAGTCACCAAGGCCAGCAGGTGAGGGAGGACTGGGGCTCAGTGTCACCCCACTGACCCAAGGAGAAACCAGCCAGAGTCCCCATCCTGGCCCGCAGTGCTGAGGAGCATGGCCATTAGCTGGGAGCTTCCCTGGGGAGGGCAGGGGCTGCTGCCTCCTGCAGGTAAAGCCCACAGGGGGAGACTGTCACCTGGGGAGAAAAGGGAGATGGCCTGCATGAGCACATACTCCTCCTCACATAGCTGCAGCTTCTTCAGCATGTAGTGGAATTTCAGCATGGGCTCCAGAAGAAGCTGCTGGAAGCCACCTGTGGATAGTATAGGATAGACGCTGACCGAGGTCCACCCTGCCCTCACCAAGGGCTTCTCCTCCACCACTCAGTTTCCCGGCCCTGCAATGTCTGTGCCTGCATATCCTGGGGTTCTCCTCCCTCTGCCGAGGTGGGCAAGCATTCACGGGCACCTGCAGCGTCTTCCAAGCAGTAGGACAGCCGGCCGCACTCCCAGGTCCCTGTCTCCGCATTGAACACTGTATTGAACCTCAGCTGGCACAGCTCAAAGGTTGCCCCTTTCAGCAGAGAGATCTGGTCTTCGATAGGCAAGTCCCTGGCAGCAAGGACGGGGAGGGAGGGAAGAACAACTCTCTGGGAAGCTGGCACTACTCCCATAATCCAGGGAATTGTGTGTGGGTGGAGGGAGCAGAGGTAGCATGGGCACTTTCCCCTGAGATTGCCTCCGATCTCTTTCCCCTCACACTCCTGCCAAGGAGATTTCTCTCCCCAGCCATGTCCTCTCCTCTCCTTTGACTTTCAGGGACTCTGCACTGCCCACACACATAGGCCCCCAGATCCCTTACTGCCTGACCACACCTCCCCCAACTCCCTACAAGCTCCTGGCCTACACCCAATGCCTCGGCTTCTGGATCCTGGCCTGATAGTTTCTACCTCAGTTTCCCCACTTGGAATGCTTGCCCTTTTAGCTTCACTTAAGGGCAACTCCTGTCCCCTAAGACAAGCTATGTCTTTGCCCCCTCACAGCCCTTCCCAAGTGCAGTCCTTCTGTGAGTGCCACTCCTTTGCCCTGAGCTCCATGCAGTGGGGATAAGTACTGCCCACTGGGTGTGCCAGGATGTGAGATGCATGCATCTATTTCTGCTGTTTCTCTTTAGGCAGCCTAGATGCCTTCAGCTCCACTCCCAGCGCCAAACACAAGCCTAGCCACAGCAGCTGCCTAGTCAGCCTCTGATATTCATGGTTCCTGCAACACCCCTCCCATCCTGCTGGGACTGCTCTCTCCCCACCTAGGAGGTCCCCACTCTCCGAGGAGGAGACATTCCTGACAAGGAGATGGCTCTGAGAGCCTGGGCAGAGGCCACTCGCGCTGGCTTTGGAGGAGTCCCTGGCCCTGGCTTTGGTCTCCCACCCACCTTCTTTTAGATCCACAACACTGAGCTACACATGCCATGAAGTTGGTCTTGTTCCTCTGTGGTGCTTCCAAATCTGCCCTTCACCACTGAGTAGCTGTGACCTTGTGCTAGTTTCTCAATCTCAGTGAACCTCTTCTTCTGTAGAACGAAGTGGCAGTGATGCCTTGGGTCACTGTGCTCAAAACTGGTGGCCATGAGAAGTGATGAGTGATCTCCCACCCTGGTGTTTCAGCGTAGGTCAGAGGATCTCAGCAGGGATCGTCCAGTGTCCACATTTTTAAGCAGCTTCTCTCCCTGCCCCTTGAGTTATTCTGTCACAGTCTGAACCTTACTACAGCCTGCTGTCACCCACACCTCATTAAGTAAGTCCTGAGTGTCTCCCATAGGGCCACAGGGGAGCCTGTGGGCTCCTCGAATATAACCTGCCCTCAGCCGGTGCATGAAACCAGGGGCTCCTCAGGTGTGTGATTCAGCCCTATCTGGCCAGGCTTGTCAGGGCAAGGTAGCCTACCCAAGAAAAGATATACCCAGCACCATCCCAGCCCTAACAGACCACCAATTAAGGGGCTGTGGTCTCACCATACCAGGCAGTCCCCAAGTCTCCTGCTAACCACAATTGCCCATGATTGTCATCTCTATGCCTAGCTCTGAGGAGCCATGGACCTTCAGTTCTCAGGGCCATGCACCTTCCCCATGGCCTTCTCAGCTTTGTCTTGGTGGCAGATTGCTAGAGACCCAGCAACTGTATCTCTCCCTCTCTTCTCTCTGGACTTCCTTCCCTTTCCTTCCAACTCATTCTTTCCTCTGGAACTTGCCTTGCCTTGTGATTCTTGCCTTTTTGTGGGGGAACAGCAAAGGGAATTACTATCTGAATGTGCTGGGTGCTCTTCAGAGGTTCTGTTTGCCATGGCAGCCCTGCAGGGTAGGGATAATTAGCTCCTGTCTAGCAGATGGGAAGGCTGAGACACAGTCAAATTGAATGGCAGGTCTCAACCACAGAGCTAAGGAGCCATACAGCCAGGGCTGTTTTAGCCAGCAGCACTGCCTGCCCCGGGGCAGAGATAAAGGAGGGTCTTTGAGACCAACATCCCCCAAATTCAGAGAGATCTCTACCTCAAACCTTTTGAACCTCTTGGCCATTTCCTGTTCCTTTCCACACACATCCACCCAGCCTCCTCGTCCTACCTGAAGTAGGAGATGACTTTGGCAAAGTTGATGATGCCTTTGAACATGTAGGTGGACATGTCAGCCATGTGGGGCAGCAGGGAAAAGATCTCCTTGCCACCACTGTCAGCTGGGGGTTTGTAGTTCCAGATGCTGCCGTCCTCCCCCCTCAGCTGCAGAGAGAGCTTCACAGGGCACAGATCATCTTTGATCTGGTGCCATTTGGCAGCTTCTTCCCCTGACAGGGCCTGCAAAGACTGTGGAATCTCATGGCCACTGCTGAGTACCTCCGGCAGCTGGGATGCACACAGGTAGTGGAGAGAGAGAGAGAGGGCGTGTGTTTTCCTACAAACATCCCCACTGAGGCCGCAGACAGGCGTGCACAGCCTGAGAGGATGCACAGTTGCTGGCACTTCCACCCTGCCACACACACGTACTCACACACACAGCCTTTGTTTCTTCTCTCTGGCCTTCCATCAGGTGGTACTTTCTGGGACTATGAATCAGTGGTCACACTCACCCCTACCTGGTCATGACAGAGGGTGAGGGGGACCTCCACACATGATGTATCCCAGACATTGGGCTCAGAAAACTCAGAAGAGTTATGGAGCCACAGACAGAAAGAGCAGATCTGAGACTGGGATACCCGGGACACCCGTGAGCACAGAGGGACAGGAACACCCTGGGGGCACACATGTGGCTAATAAATACCAAGTCACAAAAGTCACACCCCTGACAGAGCCTGACCTTGTCCTCATAAAACCCTGACTGCCAGCCATACTGGGGAACAGCCTAACTTTCTCTTTCATCACTCAGACCCGATTCCAACCTGCTTTGAGGGACAGAGCAGTGATTCTCAAACCTGACCTCCTCTGGAATCACTTGGCAGTCTTGACACTCACCCGCAACAGGTTCTGATTCAGGAGGCCTGAGAATTCACAAGCTGATGCTACTGACCCAGTGACCACACCCTGAGAACCCCTGGGGATGAGACTGTGGTTTGAGGACCTAGCATAGGAACAGACGACCTTAACGGCACCTACCCGGAAGTTCTTGAAATGGGAGAAGGTGGTGTCAAAGGTTTTC